TGGGGAAAAGCAATTATGTTCCTTTTTTTCAAACAGTCACTACAAAACTATGTAAACGAAAGCTTGAACAGTGATAACACAGTATGAAATTAACCAGTCGATCGATTAGTCTGAATATATATATGTAAACGCTTTTGTAAACCCACTACCGTGAGTATGTAGGCTTGTACATTGGAGCAAAAAAAAATTTTAAAAAAATTCAGTTACAGTAACTAACATAAAATCACATTTTGTTGCTAACTATTTCGCTTTCTTTTCTCATAGTCTGAACAAGTTGAAATATTTAAGATATAATTTTAGTTCAGTCTGATCTATAAAATCGATCGAATTATGGTAAATGCAGTATAACAAGCTAAGAAAGATATACCATATACGCTGAGTAACATGTTTAATAATGATTTGTCAATAATTAAATATTATCAGAATGGGTTTTGTGGAGATTTTTAGAAATTTCACTGATTGAAATCATGAGTCAATTGAAGGTAGACATTAACACCATTGGATGCCGGCTGATACGTCCTGGGTTCGAATCTCGCAGGGGGGCGGGACCGTGGATGGGCACTGCTGAGGAGTCCCATACTAGGACGAAACGGCCGTCCAGTGCTTCCAGGTTCTCCATTCTGGTCTAGCTTCAACTGACTCATGATTTCAACCAGTGAAATAATTAAATAGTTTGAACAGTAATTTTGTGATTAAATTTGTTTTCTAACGAATATAGAGCCATTGAATCCAAGATTTTTAATTTATTGAAGCTATTACACAATGTAATTTATAGAACCTGTGTAGTCTTTTGTAATGTTAATCATTCAACTAACCTATATAGTTGAAATCAAAATTTAAGATTTTAAACATTCCTTAACAAAGTATGTCTATAATCATATGAAAGACTATTGTTAGTTACATAATCAGGTACACTAAATTATATTGAACACAATAAGTGGTTTAATGAGTTCCATTGAAAATATCTTTTTGTGATAGCCATATTCTTTTAACAGTATTCAGTTAGTCTGTTAACTTTATATTGTCTGAATGGCTTTCAACAAGAAGGTACATAAAGTTTATTGCATGTCAAATCTGTTATGTCCTCTACTTGTTTAATTACTTGCACTTAAACGTAAAGAAACCTACAATCACAAATCAACAAGATCGAAGAAAGCAGGAGAAAGTGGTTAGTAGGTAATTGTCAAAAAATATACAGAAAAACAAGGGTATTTATAGTTTTTAGTACAGGCTATAATATCATTATAATCCAGTCGATTCTCAGGTAGGAAGTTATACAATTGTCCGATCACAGCATGCCACGTTGATATTTTGAAACATTTTTTTTGGATTCTGATTGGATGGAATCCCTTTGGCTCCTTTAGAACTTCTGAAGGTTTCGTCTCGCTTCCTGGGAACCTTCCTAAGAAGATCGTATATTTTTTTCATTTGTACTGTTTGTTTTGAATTTTGATGTTTAGGAATACAATTGATCAGTGTCTATTGGCTTATGTGCATCCTGTGCGGATTACCCTGATACTTTCATTAAGTCATATGCATTATAAGCAGAGATGGTTGGTGGATAGCAGTATAATCAAGAACGCGCGTTCCTCCCTGTTTGGTTCTCCTTGTCTGATTGTAATTGCATCCCGGAGTTCATGTCTATGCTTGGACTCGAACCCAGTACCATCTGCATTAAAACATCAACGCATCGTCCACCTAGCTACTTAGTTAGAAACAATAATGAATAAAATCATAAGGATAGGAGAGATATTTAGAAAGTAAGATATTTTTAAATACGAAATAAAATAATAATAGTAGTCTAAGGCCATGATAAAGATAAGGATAAGACTTATTTCTTTTATACACACAGTTCTGGCTTCATCTCATTGATAGTAAGAACTTCTATTTTAAGGAGTTGCATATTAAGAAATCATGTTATCCACCCTTGTTACATTATTCTCCCTAATATTTTTGTAATTTCCTGTTCAATTTCATCCCTTTTTGCAATGTTTACGTATAGAAAAGAAACTAAAATCTCTAGTTTTATGACTGAAACAAAACACCCTTGATCTGCTAAGGTAGCTTTTATCTCTTAGTGGGGTTTTGAATTATACTCTAGATATTAATTTTTTGAGCTGATTTATGCTACTGTGCAGCTTAAGAATGATACCACTGAAGAGAAAAGTTATACACCCATTATCTCTCCTCTTTAATGGATTTACAATTTTACCAATGATCACCAGACACTATTAAGTAAGGTATTGAAAAAAATAACTCAATCGTTTCTGAACAAATATATTCTGTTTCAGTAACACAATAAAGTTTAATTTTTATGTTCTGTTGAAGGAATGTGTTCCAATGTTCCGTAATATGATAAAATAATTATTTTCTCTGGAAACCTGCACCAATCAATCTGAGACCATTTTTTTTAAAAACCTGGAAGAAATGGTTAACCTTTTTGACTCCCCATCTGTGCAAATCTACGACCCTGTATTTCATGATTCAAAAACTCGGAGAATTGCATAATCTCCACAAAACATTTTGTTGGAAATTGCCAATGAATCGTAGGTTATGAATAATTGTCGCAGTGACATTTAATTTAGTTAGTTAATTATGAAATATGCTATGTAATTTTTGTATGAATACCTATCAACTGAGGATTATACATTCATATACATCTATAAACAACGAGATTTTCATTACAGAGTATACTATAAACAATCTGTAGACACGAGTTGATTAAGTGTTCAACGTCTCTACTGCCTCACGAAGGTATGCCACAAGGGGTTGTTCTTTCACCTCTTCTTTTCTCCTTTTTTCTGCATAATCTGCCATCTTCCACAGAAAACACTTTTGTGAAATATGCGGATGATCTCATTGTATGCATGCCGATTTCTAACTCTTTACATCCCATAGAAATGAATGAGTTTTTGTCTCGTATTGAATGGTGGTTTGTTGTTAATGGTCTCATACTTAATCCGTCTAAATGTCAAGCTATTAATTTTAGCTTGAGACATGAACAGAATCTAGACACCATTTTGAGATCCTATAATACTTGTGACATTGGAGGCTCTTTGATGAACACAGTATCGAAGGTCAGTTATCTTGGTGTTACCTTTTCCTCTGATCTCTATTGGTCTTCTCCCGTTTTATCGTTATCGAAGAAGGTTTTCCATCCGACTTACTACATAAAGAGATTGCATGCTTTTGAGATTACTCGTCATTTACTCTTACAATTTGTCAATTCCTGCATATTACCTTTTATTCATTACTGTTCTCCATCATTCTTTCCCGGGCATTTCAGAAAGGACTTTGCTGTATTGTGGAGAGTGCTGAAGGCAGTTAGCAAGGTGTCTGGTGAATCTTTTGAGGTCATAATTAATATGGTTGTGGACAAACATCTAAAGTCTTGCAAACTCCTGACAGGTGTTATTTTATCAGATACTAACCATCTCCTTCACTCTTATCTTTCTCCTGGTATATCTTCTAGTAGAATGAGACGTCAGTACATTAAAATCCATGCACGCAAGCAAAAATATAAAAGTCCTATAATACCTTACCTAGCAAATATACTCTGTGACGAACAGGTTGTTAGAGTTGACCTAATCAACAACCTGCATTCTTAAACATGTCTCTAAACCAAATACTGTACAGATTTAGATTTTTTTCATCATTTTCCTTTCTTTCTTTGTTGTTTTTCTTACTTTTTTGTTCTTGCAAAAGAAAGTTGTTGAAACACCTCGTGCTGAGAATTCTATGTTGTACCAAAATATAATATTGAATAAAGCCATTAATAATAATAGTAATAATTGGAAACAATGATAATTATGAAGCATTTAATCTCCAGTATAAATTTCAAATTGCATACATCATCTTGTTTATTTTCAACATATTAATTTACTTGCTTAAAAGTACAAGGGGGATGTTGAAATACATAGATAATTTATTATTATTTGAACAGATGAATGTTGGTACAAAGGGACACCGTATACATATACGCCACACAAGTCACTTGATTTATGTGTGAGGTGTGATACCGGTCGGGTGCCTAAACCGAGGCAGGTAGTTTTCATAGAGGGCTACACCCAGAGTCATCGACCTAAATGTCTAATCCACAAGACAGTGGAGCAACGTAAGGAGATGTAGTCACATGGTAGCCAGTGACCAACGATCGGTTCATACGCCATTTCCTTCCTCAAAATACTGGAGCTCATTTGCACCATTGGTTTGGAATCAGGGTTTTCCGATTTCCCCAAGTGGATCCTCCATATTCATATCCTCTCAATTTCGTAAACAACAGTAGTGCCACGTGAAGGCAGTGAATAGGACTTCCATGGCAGCGGCTTTATACGCCTGGCTATTTGAGGACGATACCTAACATGAACTGAATTAGTATATACTTTATTCACACATTTACCAGTAAACATAATTTCATAATGATCATTATCAAAGTAAAATATATTACTAATCAAACAAGATCATCAAATTAAAAAAAACAAAGCTTTCTAGTATAGGGTTTGTGGAGATTATTAAGTTTTTGATTGAGATCATGAACCGATTGGTATTAGACCACTGTTGGAAACCTGGAAGCACTGGACGGCCGTTTCATCCTAATGTGGAACTACTCAACAGTGCGCATCCACGATCCCGCTCGGGGGCCCAGTGGGTTAAGCGTTCGCGCGCAAATCCGAAGGCCCTGGGTTCGAATCCCGCGAGCAGGATCGTGGATGCACACTGCTGAGGAGTCTCACAATAGGATGAAACGGCCATCCAGTGTTTTCAGGTTTCCAACGGTGATCTAACATCGATCGGTTCATGATTTCAATCAAAAACAAAGATTTCATAATGTTTTTCTTAAATAATTTCCAAAAAATCTTTCATTATGTAATATGTAATAGTATTGATTCATTCATATATATGATCACAAATATTGATTTCATAGGTGTTTATCAAATGTATTCTTAAAACTATGAAATATCTATATATATGATTTGCTAAAATAGAATTCAATCATACACATCATTTCAACCTATCATAAGTATACAAACATAATGTAAAATCACTTGTCTGATTGTGAATCAAATCACTATTGTTTTCATCATTCACCAATATATAAAGTGAACAACGAATTCACCTTTCAATAGTTTATCCTTTATCATTATTATTAAAGAGTTATTCATATATATATCTATATTCAATAATAAAGACTTCAATATTCAATTATTCATTCATTAATACATTTTAATTAATTTTACAATTCCATAATCCAAAAAGAAAATAAAAGAATGAATAATTCTGTAATAAAAAATGCTGATATGTCACATGAAATGCAAAAACGTGCACTTGCTATTGGAATGGATTCCGTTCGAAAATATGAATTAGAAAAAGATATAGCTGATCATTTAAAAAAAGAATTTGATACAAGATATGGTCCAACATGGCATTGTATAGTGGGAAGAAATTTTGGCAGGTAATTCATTCTATAGTATTTCCATATTGTAAATTTACAACAACATAGATATAAGAGAACAATATTATATTTGATTAGATCCTCATCAGGCTTTAATTAGTTTCAGTTTTAGTTTGGGAAGGACATGAAGCTTGATGGCCTGTGTTATTCCTGGCAATGGTGGTCTCTCAGTTGATCCAAATTTCTTTTCAAAGAGTCGACGGATGGAGCCTCGTTTATGATTCGATTGGAAAGTCGATAGTCAGCTGACAAGTAATTTGTCCTGGGCTTGTGAACTTTTTTGGAGTGTCCTCGTAAATTCTCTGTTTTGGAAGACAAGAAAAATCAGGGCATATCAGGTGCAAATTTGGCACTAAGCAATTTGAAAACTGTAATCAAGTCGCCTCTAGTTGTGCTATATGACAACGGGAAAAGGTTCAGCTTGGCCAGTCGAGCTTCATACGGAAGCTTCGCTATTCCGGGAATCAGTTTAGTTGCCGTTAGAGTAAATCCTGATGAGGATTTAATATATATGTGTTGTTCTAAATTCTATAGTATTTTTTTAAAATTATTTTTATTGTGACAGATATATTTTCATAGACTATATATCACAAACTGATTTTATCTAGGTCATTATTGAAAACTAGGAAGCAGTGGACAGTAGTTACGTTCTAGTATGGAATTCCTCAATAGCGTACATTTATAAACTCCTTTATAGTAAATCAAACTCAGGACCTTTGGTTTTACATGTGAACGCTTGACTTTTAGATGAGTGATGTCTAAATTTAATCGATTCGTGATTATTAACACCAGTGCACGATGCTCTTCCGTCGTATATTGTGGACACCTAACCAGCGGATTTTTATCCACTTCGGCTATGAAACAGCTATCTACCACGGGTAATTGAAGATAGTCTCATAATATTGTGAACTAATTGAAACTAAAAGTGTACACTACCAGTTGCACAGAGGTTTAGTTTTCGAGTTCGAGACCAAAATTTCTGAGTTTGATTTACTATTGCGGGGTCATAGAAACGCATAACTGAAGAGTCTCACGCTTAAACAAAATAGCTGTCTAAAGCTTCTTAGTTTTCTATGGTCGCCTAACTAATATCTGTTCGCAGTTTAAAATTTAAGAAACTTCTTAAAACTCCATAAAATCCAACACTGATAATATAAATATTTAATGAAATATTAGGATGACATTCTGGTATTGTGTAATCTGAGCTGTAAAGTTAAGATAAAGAGTATGACAATTAAAATAATTGAACAGGCAACGACATGATAAGGTTTAACTACAACTATTTGATAATAAATTCGATAGAATAAACTGATGGTCATATTCAAAGATATTTGATTTCCTTACTTTTTATAAAGTATTTACGGATTATATTGTCTAGAACCACAATAAACCACCCAGCTTAGGGAATGCAGCTTCACCTGAAACTTATCGTGTTCAAAGAAGTTATTTGAATTTAGATTAGATCATAGTCTCTTTGTTTTATCAATAACACTAAATTATAAGAAATAAGCAAGTCGAATAAGATTATGTCAGTTCACAACCTTAGATGTTAATGTGTATATTATTTACAAGTAATCTGAAATGATTGTTTGCTTGGAACTGCTGCTAGTGCTGGTACTGCTACAACAATAACTACTGATACTTTTGAGATTACTAAAGGACCATGAAATGAAATATTCTTACACAGAAGAGATACAAGAGTTTCACCTGATTGTACTCTGATGCGAACTCAATGCTTTTAAAATTTTAATACTCTTCTTATAACATAAAGAGCCTTTGATTAGCATTTAAAGCATAACAAGATTACAGCACGATTGTAGGAAGCTTACTGAATGTTTACATACTCAAAAAAACTTGGCAAACATGTTACTGAGACCGTGAATCTTCATTAACTGAGCTGGCTGAGATATGTGCTACGCACAAGCAATCGCCACCTACGTCGACGTTTAATGCAGGTTAGAGTGGAATTGTGTTGTAGAAAATCATAGTGAGGACAAACTTTGACGTGACATAAGTCTATTTAATTGACAGTTGTTTGTATATGTTGAATTAACATTATTTGAATGGATTCCGAAGAATAAACGTAACCAGTGTCTAGAGACGTTTGGTTAAAAATTTAAAAGTCAGTCATAGTGTACACATGGATTTATTCCTTATCTCACTTCATGTGTTAATAGGTAATAATAGAGGTAAGTAATGTACTAGTTACCATCAAATGGTAAATGACTCCTCAAAATAAAAATTTCACAAACATTTGACATTGATAATGACATTGTTATGTCCCACGGATACTGTTATCTGAAAGGTCTCAGTCGAAAATCGTGGTCATATTACCGCATAGGCCATATCAGGTGATTCTCCTCCTCTACATATTCAGCTTAGAAGTTCCAAGTTTGTTTACCTCTACCCATATTTTAATACACTTTCTACAGTGTAGTGTAAGATATACGAAATCAAGGATTATCAGACTCTGTCGTATTCAGAGTATTTTTAGGTTGATTGTTTATATAAACATTTTTAATCTCTTTGGATTCTTATAAAAGAAGCTGGGGATATGTCGCTTTTAGTGGTTCAAATAAGAATAATGACTACTTGCTGTAGCCAAGAGTATGAATTTAAATTTCTTGCGTTGGGAATTATCTTAGTTAGTTTATGAAACAATGTGGATTATAATTTACAGAAGAAATTATCATATTAAGTAATAGATTGGGCAAAGTTAATCAAAACTATAACAATGATTGTAAATTAATAACATTGCTCCTGTAAAGTGATCGTATTACTATACTGTAGTGAACAAGAACTCGTGTGGAGAAAACCGATTCATTGTACTATACATAATTACACAGTACCTTTATAAAATATGAAAATCATACAGTAAATGCATTATTTGTACATCTTCCTTCAGTTGTCCTTTATCTAATTCATCATTCTTTCAATTCTGTTGTTATCTTAATTGCTTTCGCTTTTGTTTCCTCTTCTCTGTAATTCAATAGTTTTCTGGCAAATATTTCACTTCTGATTGCTACTATACACTATTGAAATCTGTCAGCATTAATAGTATACACCACAATATAATTCAAAAGGAAGTTATATTTAGTAGCTTGGACTTCATACAATGAAATAGTTCGTTCAAAATAATGCTCTTACACATCAGATGTTTACGTACTGAAAACATAATTAGTAATCAATTTTAAAACAGAAATACAACCGGATGGAATTTCAATTATTGTTGCTACCTAGTAGAGCATTTTGTTCCTTCTCAATTGTATATTTGTTACAAATCAAATAATAAATTCAAACAAATGGTTATTTAAACTGTTTAAACAAAGTAAAGTGAAGTATTGATAGTACTGTCCCATCTGATCATTCATGAAACCATGATTATTTTATAATGAGAATGCCATCATAGCAACCGATAGTTAGAGACCTTGAATGACATGACTCAAAATCGTTTGCAGTGGCGCAGGTACATCCACTCTTTGTGTTCTCCCAAATTCTAATACCCTAAATCCTCCTTGTCTCTTTTTTTCTGTTTCTAAATTTATTTCACTGGATTATACTCTTTAAATAACATCTTCAAACCCTAATCTTTCCGATTACTGCTCATAGTCTTACCGCCTCTACCACTACGGGATTTGAATCGACAACTGCATCTCTGTGCTAATGTGGTATGGCAACTCAAACTGATGTACGTACGTACGAAGTTCTATGTTGTTACTGACTGACTGATATCATCAGACTTAATAAAACGGTTTTCATAATTTCGATATCACATGAGTATTTATCATAGAACCTGATGTAACAACTTGTTTACAATGGTTCTGCTTCTTTTGTCGATTAAGTAGTAATTAATTGAAACAAAAACAAACTCAAATTGCTTATTTGTTATATGATATACCGATAATAAATACCACTGTCATATACAATAACTTCTGTCTAGATTTGGTCGAATCGTTTCACAGTATTTTGGCGCCGAGTTAACGTGAGACATTAAAGAGGAAGAATATGTATTTATAAAATCTCAGCAAATTATCATTGACTTCTCTTCTGTGTTCTTTTTTATTAACTGTTGATCAGTAGTATGTTAACCTTTTAAAATTTGTCGTAAAGATTTCTAAACCCATCCACTACACTGGGAAATACAGTTTTCTTCCTTGGTTTGGAAGAATTTCATCTCTGAAATCCAAATACTTAATACCAGTGTAGTGAGTAACTCGATCAGTTGGCTGGAATAGCAGTTGAATTAAATGCTCCGATGAGATGAGTGTATATTCTGAGCTCAGTCTGCTTCCAACTAACTGTGACTGCTCGACTAAATGTATTGATCCAACCAAATAACCAATAATTCCAAGTCCAAGGTAGTCACGATCTACCTCGTTGTTAATGTTACACCTCATTGACTTCTCTTTTGTGTTCTTCTTCATTAACTGTTGATCAATAATTTGTTAACCTTTGAAAACTTGTTCATCATCAAAAATTTGATAATTATCATTTGTATTAGGATAAAATGCTAACAAGAGCGTTCGCGTGAACTACGAAATTCCCTGATTTTTTCTAATTAGTTGCTTGTTTTGAGAATAAAACAAAAGTAATTTATTATGTAATGATAGAAATATTATGTAATGTTCATTTCATTTTGACTATGGAGTTATGAAAACTATTGTTTATCAGTGAATAGCTAATGTTTTGTTCTTATACTTTGAGCTAATCAATTACTGATTGTATCCTAAATTTGAATCTTATAACTAACGATCATCTTCAGTTGTTAAGAGAATTTAACGGCGGTTAGCAATGGTGACAAACTACTATTGATTTGTGTTTTAAATATGAAACCACATTTTTTAGTTAGTTTTAAATTTATACTTAAATTTGAAGAACATTAGTTTTTCCACCGTCATTAGGATTAATAGTTAAGATAGTTATTATCAGTATAGGATTGTGGGAACTGTCAAGTTTTTGATTACGATCATGAACCGATTGATGTTAGACCACCATCGAAAACCTGGGAGCTCACTAGTGACTTGAGGTTAAGAGTTCGCGCGCGAGACCAAAGGCCTTGGGTTCGAATCTTACGAAAGGGATCGTGGATGCGCATTGCTGAAGAGCCCCACAACAGGACGAAATGGCCATCCAGTGCTTCCAGATTTTCAGTCGGTTCATGATCCCAATCAAATATCTATTTACTCTGAAGAAGTCACTTAGATTAAGTCACGAAACGCCAAAAATACAATTTTCTACTCATCACAAACAATCTATTTCTTATTACCAAATCTAACTGTTGTATTTTGATGAAATTATGTTTCTTCTTTTATTTGATTGTATTCATTATAATAATCATTATTATTATTGGTATTGTTCTTGTTCATGGAATATTTCAGTTCTGTAACACATGAACCGGATAGTTTCATCTACTTTTACGTGGAGAAGTATGCTGTACTACTTTATAAATCAGGATAGAGCTTCACTATGTTTAACTCACTTATCAACTTAATAACAATGTAACTTATGTGAAGAAATAATGTTTGACTTATAAATTGTAGTCAACTTTGTGTTAAAATGTTAATTTCTATTATTATTATTATTATTATTATTATTATTATTATTATTATTATTATTCATATAATGAAACTGTTAATACAATAGTTATACTGTCAGTATGCTCTTTATATTTTATCACTTTCTCAGAACCTTAACTTTATTACAGAAGAACACAACTCGCATAAAGTCTACTTAAAGTGTAGTAATAAGGAAGGATAGTTCTATTTGTATTACATGGTACTTGTAATCGTCTACAACTAGATAGAAAAGAAAAACAATGTTTTAGTACGTATTGAAGACATGAATTATAGCATGTTTTGTGAATGGACGAAATTGTAATGATTTTATTAACCATCTTACATATTTCAGTTCATTGAAATGACGTTATCTTCTAACTGAACAATATCTTATTACCATACATTGTTCAAGGCATGATTTAAACTGTTTACATATATTTCTGATACGAAGAACTGTGTAGTTATTTGATAGCGAATATTTGTTGCATGTGATTAAGATTTTGAAAATCTTTTGTTCTATGGATTTAGTGGTTTCATTGCTTTTATAGACAGCATCATTTGTACATAATTTAAAAAGCAGTTAGTTGTTAGGATTTATCCACAGTTAACTAATAGTTTGTTCTGATGATGTGGAATTTGATTTATTGTTATTCACGTGTTTTCTTCATTTGTCATCCCTCTGTTATATCCAGATTTTATATTCTTAATATTCCGCATATAACTTGAGCATTCGAACGTTAGAAGACAGAAGACCGGAGTAAGTGTTTGTTGGGCAGGAATCAAAATGTACAGAAAATCATAAGTATTTATAGATAATATCGTTTGTTAAATCAACTTTATAATCCAACTAATCTGCGAAGAGGTCAGTAGTAGCATGACACATTGAGTTTTTCGAAAGATCCTTGATAGTTCGCCGACCAATCCCGTTTTGCATTCTTCTCTAGCAGGTGGTTTAGTTGAGCAGGCATGTGATAGAGATTACGGAAGAACGTACCACAATGACTGACAAATCCCAAGGAAGATCGTAGAGTAGGGATGCTCCTAGGTCTAGGCATAGTTTCCAGAGCTTTGATTTTCTTTGAATCTGGTTGTTTTCCATCGTTATGTATTATGAAACCAAGATATCGTACCTGCTCCATATAAAGGTCACACTTTTCCACGCGGAGGCGAAAACCATATTCGGCCATGCTTTCTAGCACCTGATCCGGTTTTTTCTGGAAGCCTATTTTGTCTGCTCCCATAATTATGATATCGTCTAAATAAGCTACCGCTCCTGAAATACCTTGTAACATATTATCCATAATTTGCTGGAAAATAGAGGGCACCGTCCTCACTCCGAAAAGTAGTTGATTATGTCGGAACAGACTCTTATGCATGTTGGTCATTAAGAGATATTTACTTTCATCAGACACAGGGATTTGTAAATATGCATCTGATAAATCTAATTTCGCAAAATTCCTACCGCTGTTCAGTTTAGCGAAGAGATCTTGCTGGAGGGGTAAAGGATACTGATAAGACTCTAGAGCTTCATTTAGTCCGGTGAAGTAATCTGCACATAAGTGAACGCTTCCATTAGACTTCGTGACCGCCACTGTTGGTGCAGCTCAATCTGAGAAGTTTACAGGTTCAAGAGCACCCATTTTCTGAAGCCGTTCTAATTCCTGTTCAACTACTGGAAGGGCAGCATAAGGCACGGGTCTCTTAGGTCGAAAAACGGGAGTAGCTCCATTTTTGACGGTTAGTAGTGCTTTGGTTTTCGTACTTTCTCCCAATCCTTCTATAAACACGTGGTGGTGTCTTTGTAGCACAGCATTTTTCTGCTTCCACTCTAAGGGGTTATCAGTTCTGATTATGCTGCAGATGCTGTTAATCGAATGCTCTGCTAGCTTTGTTGTCTCTATCAGATCTAATCCCAACAAGTCAAGTGCTGGACTTTTTGTAAAGTATGATATTGCATTCGTTGTCACACTACCTTTAAAAATAGTGCAGGGTACTTCACCAACAATATTTAACTACCCACCAGATACACTGTCCGCTAGTTGTGTTGTTGGATAAACTGTGGGTCTCCCAATTTTCCTCCAAGTTTCTGGGCTGATGAGAGTGATATCAGATGCTGTATCAAGTTGCAGGTAAGCACGTTGTTTATTAATATCCAAAGTTACGTGCTTTCTTCGGCAGTGAATTTGTGCTCGGTTATGAGATGTCATTATTTTGTGAGTTATAACACCAGATCTGTATTTCTTCAAATAGATTTTCAAAGGATGACGGTGGGTTCTTTTTCTACAGCTGGATTCTTTATGGCCCTTACGATGACATTTAGTACAACCATGGTTTTTATATGGGCGAAATTTCTTGTAGTGCCACTCACCGCATAACCAGCAGGAGGATGGAGGTTGTTTGTTTGAACTGTCTTGCTTATGTATAAAATAAACTTTCCGGCCACTCATTACCTGTACTTATAAGCTTCTAGAATACGAATCTGGAACTGTTCGTAAAGTTTCTTCATGACGCTCTAGCGAAGCTTCAACTTGGTCAAAGGTAAATGATATTTTGATAGGTTAACCCCGTGGCCAGTTTTTATATCATAATCTTATGTTCTTAATATACCGCATATAACTTGAGCATTCGAACGTTAGAAGACAGAAGACTGGAGAAAGTGCTTGTTGGACAAGAATTAAAATGTACAGAAAATCATAAGTATTTATAGATATTATCGTTTGTTAAATCAACATTATAATTCAACTAATCTGCGAAGAGGCATGTTATACTACTGGTCAATAGCAGCGTGTCACGTTGATATTCTAGAAAGCTCCACCATGCTCTGATTGGATGCAACTCTTCGGCTCATCTAGGACCTCTGAAGGCTCTGTTGTAGTTCTTGGAAGCTGTTCCAACACCTTCCGGACTTGATCTCTGATCTTAAAATTCTTCATATTTTTTTCTTATCGATTGATTGCCATGTGACTCTTGTTTCAGTTATAAGTACAGTGCCAACTTTCAGAAATACAGAACATTTCAGTTTACCACAACTCCGCTCATACATCTCATTTCTTCAAATGCCGATATCTATCATCTATCAATGTTTATTAAAAACCTTCAAAGCTTTATTTAAACAATGTATGTACATAATCAAGTACATGATGACATTACGGAGGGGACTAGTTTTTAAATGTAAAAAAAGTGTCAAAACATGTGAATAGTTTATTGAATAATGAGTCTAGTTTTTGTTGCTAATTTGAAAAAGAAACACTATCAACTACATGGTAACACGCGTAAATATATCATTCTAAAACACGACACTTTTATTATGGAATGTAAATTGATCGATAATCAATAGAAAAGAAAAAGGGTATAATCAACTTTTTTTTTAATTTTGTTTACACATGTGATCAAAAACAAAAAAATGTAAATGTTTTTTAGAAAAAAACATTCATACGTGTGGTACTATTGAAATCATTTAATCAGTATAGAATATGTGATCAGCTCAATGTAGTGAGTCATTGTATCGTTGAGATGATTGATTTCATAAAAGAACAATGTCTGTCAATACAAAGATTTGAAAAATAATCAAAACTGATAGAAAATAGTGCAAATAATAGACAGCTTTTAAGCTAATTGATTGTAATTTAGAACAATATTGTTTTCAATTAGATTCTCACCAAGCTTTACTCTAATATACGGCTGTTTCGTCCTATTGTAGGACTCCTTAGCAGTGCGCATCCACGATCCCACATCGCGAAATTCGAAACCAGGTCCTATCAATCTCGAGCACGAGAGCTTAACCATTAGACCACTGAGTCGGCATCTAATATACAGTAATATTTATATGCATCTACGAAATTATTAAACCAATCAAGGTAGTTTATGAGACAATGATAACAATGATATAGATTACATAAATAAACATTGGTAGTGTAATGAAAGGTGTACTAGTTTTGATAACAATAATACAAGCTTAAAACAATGTTACATAATCGGAAATAGGTCAATGATTAAAAAAGATAGAGATATTGTAATAACATTCATAGAAAGTGTTAGCGAGACATAGACTGGATTAAAGCATGTTCAGTGCACGATTGCTTTGGTGCACGCTGATTGGCCAATTTTTGACCAATCAGCACTAGTCGATAGTTGGAGAATACTCTAAAATCTCATGTAAAAACTATAAATATACTAACGTTTTCTCCATTGTGCTTCTCACTTGCTTTTTACTCCCATATTACCCTTGTTATTTGAAATATAATCTCTTTCCTGTTCAACCGTGTTCTGATTTGGGGACTTGTCGAGTGAATCGGTGTCCGAGAATACTAAGCAATAGGAATAGCTGGGTCATAACCGTAAGAAAGAGATTATAACAGAAAGATTAGAAGATTACGTAATTAGGGGTGCTCAGATAATTAGACTATGAAGCGTACATTTGAGAAAAGAAAAGGGTGGGAGGGTGTGAAGAGAAATAAACAAAGAAAGAGTATGGAAAATATTAATAAATAAAATCATTTATTACGGCCAAGGGAGAGATAAGGGAATTAAAAATTTCTTATGAACACAAAGACTTGGATTGTTGGCTCAAATTCTTATAGCTTCTGCTATGTGTAAGAGATGAGATCGAACACTATAAGGAAAACAAGTAGGAATACAACCTTCATTATTCTTATCAAAACTAGTACACTTGTCTTCACAGTACCAATTTGTACTTTTCAATTATTGTTTTTATTTACGTAATCTATTCCATTGTTATCATTGTCTCATAAACTACCTTGATTGGTTTAATAATTTCGTAGATGCATATAAATATTACTGTATATTAGATGCCGACTCAGTGGTCTAATGGTTAAGCTCTCGTGCTCGAGATTGATAGGACCTGGTTTCGAATTTCGCGATGTGGGATCGTGGATGCGCACTGCTAAGGAGTCCTACAATAGGACGAAACGCCCGTCCAGTGCTTCCAGGTTTTCCTTGGTGGTCTAGCTTCAATATTTCGATTGAATTCTGTATAACATATGAATTATGAAACTATTTTCTTAAGTAAATGTATCAAGAAAATGAACAGTTTGTAACTGTTAATTAAAGATAAAAATAAATAATCATTTTATTAAATATGGAATAAGTAAATGACGGATTATTGAATGAAATGTATTTCTATAGCAGATTTGTAGAGGTTTTAGTATTCTCCCGGTTGAAATCAAGACCACTATTAGAAGCTAGATGGACGTTTTATCTCAGTATAGCTTTCATAAGAACTGTACATTTACGATCCCTCACTCGAAAACCAAACACAGTACCATCGGTCCTGTGTACGAACACTTGACTTCTAGACCGTTCGATCCCAACTCAGTGGTCTATAAGTTAAGTGTTCACGTGCGAGACTGAAGGTGCTACGTTTGATTCTTGAGTGTGGGATAGTGGGTGTCCATTGCTCATGCGTGTCATAGTAAAACGAAAAAGGCCACACAGTGCTTCGTTGCTTGCATTGGTGATCTAAATAAGATCAGTTCGGGAGTTTAAATGTGAATACAAATCTAATTCTTTGGATCAATGCCTATGTTGACTGTCATTGTATTAATAAACTGAACAATATATTTAGTAAGCACCACACGATATTATTTTAAAAACCATGGTCATTACAAAACTGCATTTATACTACCATAATCCAAGTTGGGATACAGAGAGAATATGACAGTTTAGAAAAAATAGTAATCAATAGTTTAAAACTTGGAAATTAATCATGAACAGTTGAATGGAAAGATAAATAAAATAATCAATATAAAATAACAAATTTATTTAGTGGCGGCTATGATATCAATACATCTTTGTGACTATGATGATTTTCTGATCTGTATCACATGAATTAATCAAGCAATAATTAGGACTGTCTGTAGTATTTTAACTGCGATCTTTACATACATTAACATAGGTTAGATAAATAGTGGTTAAATGTATGGATTGAGACTTTTCATCTTTCAAACTTACTATTCTACAGCTCAACATAGCTAATCGTGAAACACCGTAATTGACCA